TCCGTGGCTCCGTGATCAGTGATGAACTGGTGACCTCCGATGCCCCATGGCCTGGTACAGTGGAGCCTTATTTTCAATACTCAGAAGTCAGAACTTCAGCCATGCCCCATGCTCAATGATACTGTGTGACGCTCTCTCTCGTCACTGTATAACTCAGCTCCCAGTGGACGCCAAAAAAACATGTCCATATGTTTAGCTAGTCACACAATGACGCTATTCAACGGGCGTCGCTGACCCCAAAACTTGGTAATAATTGTTTACAGTTTTACAGATGAACCCTCAGTTACACATGAATACTAACTATCTGATGTTCTGATCAAGTTCAGGACCAGGACAACTGATGTATATAGCGTGTGTTAGGACCAAAGCAGTGTTTTCCGTCAGAGTCTGCTCCCCAATGGACGAAACAAAAACCGGAGATGCTTATGGAACTTAGGTATCTTCTTCACCAAGATGCCTTCAGCAAGTCCGATCCTTGTTTTTCGTCCGTCTGTGACTCTGTGTACACCACTGCAGTAAGGATCAGCCGAATGCTTTTGCTACCCCCAAGAACAAGCTGAGCAAATGGCACTTGTCAAAGACTCAGGCGCATCTCAATCAATAAAGCGTTCGAATTAACTTTTAGACAAACAACAAAGAGATATTAGAGAATAAGAAACAGCGGTAGTTACCCCGCTGAAATATTGTTAATGCCCACCGGGGAATGACACAAAACAGAAAGACGGGTCTGTGCAAGATACCTTGCATCAATCCCAGCTAGTTCTGTTACGTCTAAATTCCTTCTTCTGTGAAATCACCTTCTTATTCTGAAGTCTCTTCCTTTCAGCGGCTGCAGCACTGTAATTACCAACGGAGCAACAAAATTACCACTGTGATTTGCCCCAAAAATGGAACGTTTAATCTTTGCAGTCAAGAAACATCCTATATCGAATTTTGAGTAAGAGTGAAATAGTAAAGATTTAGCCATTACAACTACAGAAGGTTTCTATGATCTCCTGAAGAAACAACCCAAACGTACTGAGCAATAAATTACTAGCAACTGCAGCGCCATTCTTAAGCAAGTAATGTTTACAAATCGTATAGTTGAACCTAGTCGCCATGGGATCGACTATGTGACTAATCGTGATTAGTCGTCAACTAGACTGATTAGTTGAGCCTAGTCGGTCCTAGTCGTCCATATAGTCGTCCTACAAATTTCAGAACATATACATAATATATACTGTATACCTATATATACTATATAGTATACACAATAAAGCAAGCATCAAGACTACATTATTGGCTAGTTGATTTATGCAATGTTCCACATCTGCACATATACAGAATAGCAGTACAGCACCTTAGGATGGAGTACCAGCAAGCAGGCAGAGTAGAAGTGGGGCAGCACAGCAAGCAATCAGACTAGAAGAGGGGCAGCAGCACAGCAAGCAAGCAAGGAGGCGGCGCTAGCGCTGTGGAGTGAGGGATAGGGGAGGAGGGAAAGGGCACACTCACAATCGGCGGAGTCATCACGAAGAGGGGTGGCGGCTTCACCACAGGAACGGTGTTGGACTTAGAATAGCGTGCAGGACACGAAGAATGGCGTGTGGGGGAGGAGTAAAGGCACGCGGGGGAGGAATTGCGGCAGCGTGGGAGAAGGAAATCAGCGCTGACTCCATTCTCTGTGTTTTTAGTGGAGTCTGGATACACTTATGCTAACCTAACAGGCCAAATTGGCAGCCCAATAGCACACTCTAAGCCCAGTTGAGCAGGCCCGTGAATAGGACAGGCAGTCACAGATCTGGCCTGGACTAGGTGTAGAGAATTAGGGCCGCGGGGTGGGGTGGACGCGCGGCCAAGGAGTCGGCGGCACGGAGGAGAAACTAGGGCAGATGAAGGAGCCAGAAGGGGACCCGGGCTCTTGATACCATGTAGAGAATTAGGAAACACCTCACACCCAATTAGGGGCGGGGGGGGTTGACTTTCATATATATAGTCAAGTACAACTTGGAGTACAAGTAACATGATATACATGTGTTAGACTATACATATCTCTAATACTAGGTTTCTAGTCGAGCTAGTCGCCTCGGTGACCCTGATTGACCTCCAGAGATCGACTAGGCCGATTAATCGCGATTAGTCGGATGACTTGTAAACACTAAGCAACTGCAGTGTGATTCTTAACTGTAACTACTAGTAATATGATACACTTAAACAAAAGCACTAATCTACACAGTTTATGCATTTGGCATTGGAAAGTGCAATATTGAAGCATCTCAAAGTAAGTCCATGAAATATCTGAAAGATATGATCGTCAGTAAGTTGTGGCAATGCAGAACTACCAGGAACTTTAGAGTATGAGAAGTTTAAGAAAATCATATACGGTGTTGCTTTAATTCAATTCTAGAGAAATTATTGAGCACTCTGGTGCAGTTTATCCCATATAAGAACTACTGATTGACACATGACTTAGGAGGAAGCAACTGGTGAAAGAAACAGCTTACATTTTTTCAATCTTTTTCTTTTGGTCTTCTGTTGGGGGTGGAGGAACATATGATGCAGCATCAATGATTGCCTGTTCAAGATAGATTTGTGGAGTAAGGCTAGTGATCTAGCCCTAGAAAAAAAGAAATGGAAGAAGCAATACCTGTATTTTCTGCAATGCATCTTCAATGTTGCCCCTAAGATGATAAATCGTATCAATTGCAATAAAAAATGACTCAAAGGATAATAGAACAACAATTACTTCTGTGTTCTAGTTTTTGTAGAAGATATAACAAGCTCTCCATCTTTATTTATCCTATTCTTCTCCTGTGCATAAAGAGAACTCAAAATAAAACAATCTGTTCACAGGATTTAGAAAAGATATATGAAAGGAATTAATAAAATGCATATAAGACTAGATGATTATAGAAGAGTGTTAACAACATCATGAAGCATGTATTAACGAATGTATGGAAACAGTAGTTAAATAAGGAGGTTTCTTTTACCGCTTGTAATATTCGTTCCTTGATTCTCTCCCCAAGCCAGTGAGCTTCCTTAACATTGAATCGCATGTCAACCTTTGTATTAACTGTAAGATGGTAGTGGGACTTTAGAACAAAGAGGCGAAAATTAAGCTGTGACTTATTTAAGTAATTAACTGATTATTACTCAGAGATCTCCGAGTTCGTTAGAGGAAACCATGCATCAATTAGGAAATTTAGTAGTATTAGGAACCTTATGCTTAGGAATATAAGTTGGATGTGATCTGTTGGCTGGCTGGTGACTAAATACTATACACTATATAGGCAGGACATGCCTGCAAGGGAGATCAAACAATCAAGAAGCAATATAGCAATGAGCTTTGCCTACGCAAACTAGGTTATCATAAAAAAACTCTTCTCAACAGGAGAAGCCATCGACTAGAGGATGATCAGCCCTTATTTTGCCATATTCATCAGACAAAAGAGTTTAAGCATGTCGAAGTATGGGCCAACAACAATTATCTAATGAATGTTCTTTAAAAGCAATTATCTAATGATTAAGAATGAAATGAAGAAAAAGAAAAAATACATGATCTTGAGTGAATGAAATTTGAATGAAGCACGCCACTCATTAAATTCTGAATGCAGAGACAGGAGGAAGAGAAAATACAAATGTAAATAAATGTCAATACGATGATTAAGCACATGAGAAACTGGCACCAATTATATGCAATGAGAAAAAAGAGAGTGGGGAAAGCATGAAACCTTTATTAACATTCTGACCACCAGGACCACCACTTCTGGCAAAATTAACAGTAACATGATCTGCAGATATAAATGGAGTAAGAACAAATTTTGGCAATTCAAGCACTAATTAGACATGGTCATCAAATTTCAAAATAATTTCATAACACCGAAATATTTCATGTTGGACCCATATACTTATCGAGAGAGAAAACCACCATAAGTTTTATTTACATGGATATTACCATCTTCCAGTCCCATCTACAGTTCTACACATGTTGCAATTGATGACAAACCAATTCCACTCAGGTTCATAGAAAGAGTTCTCAACCATCTTCTGTTGCACGGGTAACATCTTCATCTTCAACAATATGTGACAAGAAAATGCATTCTCAATTGTAACTAACCCAGAACATCGCAGAAGATGATGTGTTTATACTGTCTTATGAACATAAAATACAGTTCGAGACATCAATTTACAAGCCAAAATTCATTATCACCTGAACCATCCCCACGCTTTCCGTTTTTTCACTTGTACTCTATCCTTTTTTGGAAATGAGGAAAGACCCCATTTCCATTACTGTAATAACAGAAATACAAGCAGTCTGATAACCAGAAATAGAAGGGAGAAAACAGCGCTGGGCAGAAGTACTAGGACTAGCCTACTTGATTCAAGCAACTAGCCTAGCACTATAACCCATGCAAACACAGTTTAAAGAGCACAACATCCAGAACAAAAGCAGCTACAAGCTCCTGTACAGTTCAACACCATTGAACAGAATATGTAAACACCATGGCAAACAGCCAGTTTCATGGGGTAACTTGTACCCTTATCTGCTTTTGTAAGGTTCATTAACTTGCATTCTACAGCACTGACAGCTTCTAATCAAAGAACGGCTCACTGACAAAAGATCATACCAATCATGTTCACAGCTTGTTCGTAAAGTGAAATGAACTTAGGAGTAGCATGGAATTAATGAATTAGTAGCAGATACATTTAAATCGCACAGACAACTCCCTGGGGGTAGCCATTTCGGTCAAATGAACTTACCACATACGCCCATAAGTTGTTATGCAAATAGGATTTCTACAGGCTCGAGCCTTGAGGAGACTCAGTGCAAAGCTCTAAGCTCCTATAACAGTTTGCACATACAGTGCCCTTAGTGATCATAATAAGTATCAACGCCGGATTCTCGACTGTGAACTGTGGCACATAAGCTGCAGACAACACCAGGTTTGATGCTAGGGCGTGACATTGACATTCAGAAATCAATAAGGGTTCTGGGACCGATTGGAAGGCAGAATGAGGATTCAGGCCAGCTGTAGTTGGTTACCCAGGGTGATCTTGGGGGCAGGGTCGGAGCCCGCCGACGCGGCGCGCTCCTCAGCGTCCCGCAGCACCTGCTGCGTCAGAGCCAGACGAGCCGACACCTTCTTGCCCCCGTCGTCGCCGGCCCCGGCCGCCGAGCACCGGAGGCGTACCAGCCCGGTCCGGCCAACGGCCAGGTTCAGGCCCAGGCTCGGGGCAGGGCACGGAGGGGCCTGAAACAGGAGGGAGGAAACGTGGCGGAAACCGAACCGCAGGAGGCTGCCGCCCCGCATGGCGGCCGCCATTAGTCAGCGTGTGGAGGAAGGCGGAGCGGCGGAACCAGAGAGCTCGGCCGCACGGCGAACGGGTGAAGGCGAAGCGAAAGGAGGCAGCAACAGCAACCGATCGCTTGGGCTTTTCTGTAGAGTAAGTTTCGTTTGTTTTGCTGGCTGGGCTGACTTGAGATCTAGCCCATCTGGAGGACTTCTGCTAATTGGGCCGAACTTGATTTACCACCTCTCTAGACCATTTCCCTATAAAAACACAAATCATTAGCGGAATCAAGAGTTTTCGCTGAAATTTGAATTATACTGATGCTTATGCTGATTTGTTGTGAGAGGAAATACTGTTCGTTCGCTGAAAAGTACTGCTAAAGTAGTGCAGCAAAACAGGGCTGAAGAGAGATGATAAAAATTGAGTCTGTCTAGTCAACAACTGGTTGTTTTAGCCCCTCGCAACAACTAGATTTTCGTCCATGCACTTACACTGTCTTATAGCTATATTTACACCGCATTGTTACTATATTTACAATGATTTCTTTAGTGTAATTTTGTCGGGTTCATAAACCCGGGGTCCCCAATGGACCCGCTTCCCTACAAAACCCGGCCCGGTAGGCGGTGCAACGACAACACGCGCCTGGGCCGGCCCAGATACATAATGACAGAGCAAGACAACGATCCGGTACTCGACCGGAAGGCCTGGCGAAGGTGGGACCGCAGTCCGACTCCGACCCCCTTTCTCCGACAGAGGATACACCAGACCTCTGCTCGCTGCTCTTTCCCGACCAACACGGTCGGGGCCGACTGGGAACGACTAACCGGGGATGCCCGCTCGGTGTGGGCCCAGAGAGCAGACGGAGCAGATAAGGTAAGACGCTCAAGTCAACCGCAATACCGAGGACCGTACCCTGCCATGCCCTGCGCACCTGCAGGATGGTGCCATCGGGGCATGTCAGATGAATACGGTAGAGCTTGCCAGACACGTCAGAGCATAAATAGTATTGTGGGCGCCGTCGTTTGCGGTACCAGGCGAACATGATAGAGCCTGTCAAACGTGTCTGAACATAAACAATATTATGGGCGCCGACAGCCATCTCGTACCTGATGACGTGGGCAACATGACTAGACAGCGCCCGTATGAACTCTCTCTTTCTCTCTAGCTTGTAAGGCCATCCCCTTCAACTATAAAAGGGGATGCGCTCTCTCCTACCAAAAGGACAGGAGATTCAAACCCCCCAAAGCCCCGAAGACTCGAGGACTCGAGGACAGCAGCACAACGGCTCTAGAGCTCGACAGCTACACAGTCTACATGCTCTCAACAGCTGATAAGCTCGGACACACAGAGCATACGCTCCGATACTTAGCGCACGTTTGAGCATCCATCACTCTTTTCCACTCGGCTTAGAGTCCGACCGGCCTTTAACACCCCCTTCTCATTCCTTACTCGTTTGTAACAACACAACAAACTTCGAGCACCTGGGCTCAGGAATAAAGTCACTGACCGACCTCAACTGGGCGTAGGGCATATTGCCTGAACCAGTATAAATCCTGTGTCATTGAGTGCTAGGCCACATTCGATCACAACGCACGGTAAAACTACAAATATTTACTTGTTGGCCACATTTCGCACCGACAGTTGGCGTGGTCCGTGGGGAGCACTCCGTGCGTTCACGCTTTTGGTCATCAGATGACCCACCTTTCCACCATCTTCAGCATGGCGGGCTTGAGCGATACGATTCGCTTCAGCTCCCTAGAGTTTCCCATGCTCCCACTTGCTGGGATGTGGGCTCCTCCTGTCTTCGTGCCACTCCAGACCTTCTTCTTCGAGAGTCTAGACTTTGTCGCCGACCAGCTCGGCGTACTCTGCCTCTGCGAGGAAGCGCTTGTCCCAGCGCCCACTGGAGGAGGAGCGCCCTCCACCGGCCCCGGGCCACTCGACGACCTCAACGTCGAGACACCCGCGCTTCGCCTCGAGCCCATGCTGGGCTCAAACCCCACGGTGAGTGATGTACATTTTATAGTTTACTCACTATTTAACACCATCCGCCAACTCTCTGGAGGGACCCCATTGTCCCCACCGCGACCGTCGTGCGACCGGTTCCCCTATGACTTTGCGTCCCCCGTGGACAAGTGCACGCGGGGACTTCAAAGGATGCTGACACCGCCCCCTCACATCCAAGTTTGTGGGGATGGCGGGCTACGCTCCTGCCTCCTTCCATGACCTCGTGGATGATGAGGTCGAAAGCAATGGCTCCAGCATCGGCGACGTCATGGCACCTGGCCACCCTCTGTCCTAGGAGTGCTCTATGGCGGACGTCCTGGGATAGCCACCAGAGGTAGTGGAGTCTCTACAGACTCACACCCCTCTGGACCCCCATATGTACGCCCTGGCACATGTGCAATAGCATGGCGAGGAGTTACGGCAAAGGGGGCAGAGTCAGCCCCTGCCTGCGCCGGAGCGCCTGGCACATCACGCTCCGCCACATGCGCATAACCCTATGAGCGGCGCTCGGGGTCATGCCCGTCAGGTCCAACGTGACATACTAGACGGAGGGGACAACCCCCCTTAGTTTGCTTGGGCTGGCCAGAACATCGCTGCTATGGCAATGCTTCTGCGTGGCCTCCCTAAGCCAGCCGACCCCTAGAAACATGGAATCCACCGAAACCTCCGAGCACTGGTGGAGACCGCCGCCGTTTAGCAGGTGGAGAGCTCCGTGTCGCGACACTGGCTCATGGCCTCTTGCCCAACCGAGGGACTAGGGCCGCACCAATCGAATCACTCTGTCCACTCACCACAGTAGTTGTCAGGCATGGAGCAGGAAGCCGCGACTGCACCACAGCCCAACTCGGTGCCCATTCCACACCGGCCACATATGCATGAATGGTTCAGGCTGAACTATGACACTCACAGCGTCATCAACAATCGACGCCACGCCTAGCACGATGGTAACGCCCATCGAATGGCGGTGAGAGTAGGCGGCGCGGGCCTCAGCCTGACCATCGAGGAGTACGAGGACATGCACCCCAAGCATGGTGGCAGACCAAACGACCGGAGCCCCAGCTCGAACGGCCTAGGGCCATGGACCTTTGCTCATCTCATCCAGAAAGCATCGTTCCCATAGCGCTTCCGACCGCCCACCAACATCGTCAGGTACACTGAGGAGACGAACCCCGGTATATGGCTCGAAGACTTCTAGCTCGCCTGCTGAGCTGGAGGAGTGGATGATGACTACTTCATCATCCAGTACGTCCCCATCTGCGTGGAGGAGCATGTTCGAGCATGGCTCGAATTCCTTCCGCCCGACAGCATCTGTGACTGGGCGGATCTCAAGAGGGTCTTCGTCGAAAATTTTGAGGGGACGTATGTTCGTCCTAGGAATTCCTAGGACCTCAAGAGCTACCAGCAGGACCCCAACGAGTCCCTGTGGGATTACATTCATAGGTTCTCAAAGCAGTGCAACTCCCTTCCTGATGTTGTCGATGCAGACATCATCAGTGCGTTCCTCTCTGGGACAACCTGCAAGTCCTTGATCCATAAGCTTGGTTGTGTGAAGCCCCGTACCACCCATGTCCTACTCGACATCGTCATGAACCACGCCTCCAGCGAGGAGGCAGTCAGGGCAGTCTTTAGTGGTGGTCGGGACAGGGGCAAGGCCAAGCGCGAGGACCAAGGCGAGTGCCCCTCCACACAAAAGGGAAAGAAGAACAATAAGGACCGATGCCGACCGGCCAACCCAGCTTTGGTCGCTGCGATCGACCGAGCGGGCAAGCAGCCCCAGTAAGGCCAGCTCGACCACTTCGACAAGCTCATGGAGAGTCCATGCACCAACCATGCCTATCCCATCAAACATATCTACAAGGACTGCTAGCTCCTTAAGCGCTTCCTGCAGCAAGCCACCAAGCCAAAGGAAGGGAAAGGCAAGGAGAAAGAGGCCACGAAAGGAGGCATGGCGAGCAAGGATGAAGATGGCCTCTCTGACCCCGAGGAATGCGTCATGATCTTTGGGGGATCCAATGCTATCCACTCCAAGCACCAACACAAGGTATGCTATAGAGAGGCATGCGCCGCCGAGTCGGCCATCCACTCTTTCCTTAGCTGGTCGGACTCCCAGATCACTTTTGATCAGAGAGACCATCCTTCGCATGTCACCCGACCAGGTCGCTACCCGCTCGTCGTCGATCCCATCATCCGCAAGAAGCGCCTCACCAAGGTGCTGATGGATGGAGACAGCGGCCTCAACATTCTCTACGTCGACACCCTCAGCGCCATGCTCATCCCCTAGTCGGAGCTCCACCCAGTGAGCTCTCCCTTCCATGGCATGATCCCAGGGATATAGGCATATCCACTCGGGCAGATCAACCTACCCATCACATTTGGTGACCACGCCAACTTCTGCTCGGAGGTTCTAACCTTCGAGGTAGTGGACTTTCCGGGGTCCTACCATGCCATCTTGGGGCGGCCATGCTACGCCAAGTTCATGGCGATCCCCAACTACACCTACCTCAAGCTGAAGATGCCGGGGCCGAATGACGTCATCACCATAGGTAGCACCTTCTCGCACGCCTATATGTGCAACCGCGAGCATTATGAGCTCACCACTACCGTCATCAACTCCGCCGAGCTCCCGGCGGTCGGGAATTCGGCAACTCCAGTAGTCTTCGACTGTAATGGGCCGATCTCCTCGAGTGCCTTCCATCCGACTGAGGAAACCAAGGCGGTGGAGATTGACCCCACCGACCCGACTAAGACGGTTCGGATCGGGACTAAGCTCCCAGCCAAATAGGAAAGCGAGCTCGTCGACTTCCTACACGTAAATTGTGATGTCTTTGCATGGGAGCATTCCGACATGTCGGGCATACCAAGGGAGGTCGCTGAGCATGCACTACGCGTTGTTCCAGGCTCAAAGCCCGCCAAGCAACACCTGCGTCGCTTTGACGATGAGAGGCACAGGGCCTAGGCGAGGAGATCACCAAACTTCTGGCAGTCGGATTCGTCAAAGAGGTATACCACTCCAACTAGCTAGCCA